CGTCCTCCCCTTCGGTCTTCTATCTGACCTCCGTCCTTCCCATCAGTCTTCTCTCTGACCTCCGTCCTCCCTTCTGTCTTCTATCTGACTTCCGTCTTCTGACCTCCGTCCTCCCCTTCGGTCTTCTATCTGACCTCCGTCCTCCCCTTCAGTCTTCTATCTGACCTCCGTCCTCCCCTTCGGTCTTCTATCTGACTTCCGTCCTTCCCTTCAACCTTATCAAAAAGGTCATTTTATAATCTCTCTGCAGGGATGACTCCATGAGAATGGAGAAGAAGCGGAGTCACATGACTGAGAGGATATTGGACTTCACACTGCAGATCATCTACCTGCTGACCGGAGAGGTGAGGAGGATTCTGGGAGGTCACATGACATCACTCTGATCTCTATTCATAACACAATGTATCAATAATAATTTTTATTACTCAGGATTATGAAGTAGTAAAGAAGAGATCTGGTGAGCGGCTGGTACTTGACAGAACCAATGAGAAGAAGGTTCTAGAAGTCATCATCCGCCCCTCACATCACCGGGTAAGAGGAGAGAGCAGTACGGAGGCTCCGCCTACATCCCCCATCATCTGATACACACATAGAAACAATGTATTCAGTCAGTGTGTGTGTTTCCTACAGATGGATCCAGTAAGAGGAACCCACCAGAGAGATGTCCCCGTCCTCTGTATTCCCGGGATCCCACCCAGGAAGATCTCACCATCCCTCACCGTGATCAGGTCGGTGGAACTGAACTTCTATAACTGAGGATCTATAAATTCTTATGACTTTTTTTTGTAGTTTCGGATGTTACTCTCTTGTTCTGGGTTTAGGATGAAGACCCAGTTGATATTAAAGTAGAAGTTAAGGAGGAAGACGAAGAAGAAGATGACGACAAGGCTTTTCTAGAGGGTGATCAGCAATCTATTGAAGAGGGTGAAATCATAGTGACCATTAAAGAGGAGGATTCTTCTGTAGATATCAGCACAGGTAAGAAATAATAAATACAAGTTGCTCAATATAACGTCATGTGACCAACAAATGAGGAGGAGATACTGGACACCATATGAAGGTCCATCTCCATTCCCCAATATAACGCCATGTGACCAACACATGAGGAGGAGATACTGTACACCATATGAAGGTCCATCTCCATTCCTCAATATAACGTCATGTGACCAACAAATGAGGAGGAGATACTGGACACCATATGAAGGTCCATCTCCATTCCCCAATATAACGTCATGTGACCAACAAATGAGGAGGAGATACTGTACACCATATGAAGGTCCATCTCCGTTGCTCAATATAACGTCATGTGACCAACACATGAGGAGGAGATACTGTACACCATATGAAGGTCCATCTCCGTTGCTCAATATAACGTCATGTGACCAACCAATGAGGAGGAGATACTGTACACCATATGAAGGTCCATCTCCATTCCCCAATATAACGTCATGTGACCAACAAATGAGGTTCTAGTTGCCATGACTTCTTAAATCAAAATATGTAAAACTTATCCCACAGGTGGACACGCTGGTTGGAGTTCCTCGGAGGGGCGTCTTTTCCTGCCTCCGGATTATAATGAAGAAGAGACGAGCGGCGGTCAATATTCTTTAGGACTCGTCTCCTCTGTTGAAAATATACGACCTGACTTGTACTTGGTGGACGGATCATTAGGCACCTCTGAGTCTGAGGAACACTCCTCTTCACATAGGTCACATCCTGTTGGACATCCCGGGGAGAAGACGTTCCCGTGTCTGGAATGCGGCAAGAGTTTTGGTAAGAAAGCCGACCTCATTAGACATCGGAGGATGCACTCGGGGCAGAGTTTGTTTTCCTGTTTGGAGTGTGGGAAATCCTTTGTACTGAGATCACAACTCGTTAGACATCGGCGACAACACACCGGAGAACGTCTCTACACCTGCCGAGAGTGCAAGAAGTCCTTCAAACAGAAGTCCGACCTTCTCAAGCACCTGAAAATCCATACGGGCGAGAGACCTTTTGTGTGTACGGTGTGCGGAAAAAGCTTTACAGCCAAATATATACTTTTGGAGCACCAGCGCCTGCACACCGGCGAGATGCCGTTTAGGTGTTCGGATTGCGGGAAAGGTTTCGTACGGAAAGGAACTCTCATCATACACCAGCGGACTCACACGAGAGAGCGTCCGTTTTCGTGCCTGGAGTGCGGGAAAAGCTTCAAACAGAAATTGTGTCTTTCCCGACATCAGAAACTTCACGAGCTCGAGGAATCTTTGTCGTGTTCGAACTGCGGGACGAGTTTTAAAACAAAGTACGAGCTTCACGTCCATCAGAGGATCGAGGCGGGCGAGGAGATCTTCTCGTGCTCGGAATGTGAGAAATCCTTCTTGGCGAAATCGGATCTCCTGATACACCAGAGAGTTCACACCGGCGAGAAGCCCTTTTCTTGTTTTGAGTGCGGCAGAAGCTTCTCGGTAAAGGGGAGCCTCAATACGCACATGAAGCTCCACACCGGCGAGAGGCCGTTTTCCTGCGACGAGTGCGGGAAATGTTTCATACAGAAACGAGAACTTCTTAGGCACCAGGGGACGCACGTGGCCGACCGCCCTTTCTGCTGCTCTGAGTGCGACAAGTCATTCAAAACGCAGTCTGACCTCCTTCTACACCACAGGACTCACACCGGTCAGATCTTTTCCTGCCTGGAGTGCGGAAAAATATTCCTAAAGAGATCGAAACTTCTGAGGCACCAGAGAGGGCACTCCGGCGAGAAGCCCTTTTCGTGTTCTGAGTGTGGAAAATGTTTCTCACAGAAAGGGAACCTCGACGCTCATTTTAGAGTCCACACTGGCGAGAAGCCGTTCCCTTGCTCGGAGTGCGGCAAGTGTTTCATAAAGAAAGGCGCTCTCGACCGACACCAGCAAACGCACACGGGGTTGCGGCCTTTTTCCTGTCTGGAGTGCGGAAAGTGCTTCACCCGGAAATTCAACCTCGTCCAACACCAGAAGCTCCACGTAGACCAGAGTTCGTTTTCGTGTGCGGACTGCGGGAAATGTTTCACAAGGAAAGACAATCTGATTCGGCATCAGAGGAACCACATGCAGTGAGGCCGGTAACAAATGTCTGGAGGCGTTTCATAAACTGAAGGCTTCAAGTCATAGAAGAACTGTATGATGATGAGGGCTTAGAATCAGTCCACCTGAAAGTTTTATTTCATTTATAGGTGGAAACTGGAAGGGGGAGGGGTTCCCAGTTGATGATTTGCTTTCTATGTCTTATGGAATCCCGAGAGCTTACAATCTAAAAGGGAGGGGCCCAGTAAAAGGTAATAAGGAGGGATGAGTTGATGGAGAACGTAAAAGTTCAGTGGTTGGGTGGGGGTGGGGTAGACTTCCCTGAAGAGCAGAGTTCTCAGGGAACGCCTAAAGGCCACCAGAGTAGGAGATGAGCGCCAAGGTTGGGGTAGGGAGCTCTAGAGGATGGGAGAGGCTCTGGAGAAGTCCTGGAGGTGAACTGGGCGCCAGAGAGCAGGAGGTCTGGGGAGGAACGGAGAGGACGGCTTGGGCGATACTTGTAGACGAGGTTGGTGATGTCGCTCGGTGCGGAGTTTGTATGTTGTTATTATTCTGAATTTTATGCCTTGGGTAAGCACAAGCTAGTTGAGGGATCCTCTTATAGTGCGGTCCTAACTCTAAACTATGAGAGTCTCCATCTTGGAGCACATGGGGGCAGAAGATATCAAATTGGGTGCAGGCCTGTCAGGAGGACGCCCCCTCCTCCTTAAAGGTACAGAAACACACAAGGGATCCCGCACATCCCATTGGCAGCTGAGAAACCCCAATGCGTCGCTGCACCAAATCGGTAAAGCAAAACAAACAAACAAACCAAATTTTTCCGCAGCTTAAGCCCGTACATTGTAAATGATTGTTTACTTCTGCCAAGGAGCCACAGGGTGAGACAAGTTGTTTTACATGCTGGTTTGTGAGTGTGCCGTGATGCCTTTCTACTGTTCTACTGTTCAAAGCCCATTTCGTGTGCACCTTACTGTATAACTGGTAACAAATTGTTGAGTGCGTTTGTCGTTTGTTTTGCTGGTAGAGGAACTCTGTCCCATGAGGTAGAAGAATCTGTCCGGTGGTGCACCTCTCCATCGATCCCCACATCAGTTTTCGGGGTGCAGAGCCATTTCATGCTTATCAGTCATAGAGCGTAGAAAGCTCCCCGGGTTTCCTTTCAGAAGATCTTACCCTATCAAATGCCCCTCCTACCCATTGAATCCCCTCGGTCGGTCATCGTTCCTGGCCTACAGCCATCGCCTTGTGCTGTTCTTTGTTGAAGAAGGCGTCTCGTCATCGGTTCCTCATATACCCAAAGTATTGTTTATGTGCTTCATTTAGAGCTTTGGTGTCGGTGAAGTCCCGGTCCTCCTTCTGGTTCCTCTCAATAAATAATATTTATTATGAAGTTTTGAGTCTCTCACGTTCTTTTCGATTCAGGACATAATAATGAAGACACCACAGAACATAGAGCCGTGTATAACTGGCCAGCAGCAGATCAGTTCTCTTCCGGGATAATAGGCCCAACCGGGGTATGCCTAACTTTTATTATATCTATGAGGATACAGGAATGTGGTGAAGGAGGGTGATATACACTATATTGCCAAAAGTATTGGGACGCCTTTACACGCACATGAACTTTAATGGCCCCCCAGTCTTAGTCCGTAGGGTTCAGTATTGGATTGGCTCCGCCCTTTGCCGCTATAACAGCTCCGCCTCTTCTGGGAAGGCGTCCACAAGGTTTAGGGGCGTGTCTATGGGAATGTTGGACCATTTGTGAGGTCAGGTACTGATATTGGGGGAGGGGCTCGCAGTCTCTGCCTCTAATTCATCCCAAAGGTGTTCTATGGGGTTGAGGTCAGGACTCTGTGCGGCCAGTCACGTTCCTCCCCCATCCGTGTCTTTATGGACCTTGCTTTGTGCACTGGTGCGCAGTCATGTTGGAACAGGAAGGGGCCGTCCCCAAACTCCTCCCACAAAGTTGGGAGCATGAAACTGTCCAAAATGTCTTGGTGTGCTGATGGCTTAAGAGTTCCCTTCACTGGAACTAAGGGGCGGAGCCCAACCCCCGAAA